CAATATTCCCTCCCAGTCTAAGTCTTGGAGAGTAGCTCTCAGCCTTGGAAAATTAACTCTCTTAAAATTGAGTATTTTTATTTTTCCCGTATGTGCTCGCTGTTTACAGCTAACAATAAATGAAATCATGTAATGGTCACTGCTACCCAGATGTTCTTTTATATGGACATTTGTAACAAGCTCTGCATGGTTTGAGATTACCAGGTCCAGCAGAGCATCATTCCTAGTTGGGGCCTCTATGAACTGTACCATAAAATTGTCCTGTAGTAGGTTTATACATTTTTGCCCTTTAACTGTTCCTGTAGTACCATTACTCTAGTCAATTTCCGGGTAGTTAAAATCCCCCATTATTATCACTGTCACAGCCCTTGCAGCCCTCCTGTGCAAGGAGCTGAGTCTCCACCTCCCCATTAACACTGGGAGGCCTATAACAAACTCCAATGAATACCTTTGTAGCACGCACCCCCTTGTGCAGTTCCACCCATAATACTTCAGCTCATCACACTCTCCATCAACTAGGTCCTTTTTCACACTCGCTCTGAGATCAATTCTCACATAGAGACAGACACCACCACCTTTCCTTTTTCCCGTCTCTCTGAAAGAGAACATAGCCAGGAATATTAATGGCACAGTCACGTGAAGAATGAAGCCATTCATTGACATCTTATGCACACGTACTTTCCATATTTTTTGTTTTCATACAAATGGTACCAATTCCAATGGTTGTTTGTAACATGGGAACCTAATTATCTGCTATAGTCCTCCCCCAACTTTCCCCATTCCACTCACCAATAAGAACTGACCCCTGCCTGATCTGTCTACCCCATTATAGTCTAATTCTCCCTCCCCCCTCAATCCTAGTTTAAATACTCCTCCAGCCTCCCCAGAAACCTCTCCCCCAGCACAGCAGACCCCCTTCCATTTAGGTGCAAACCATCTCTAGCATACAGGATGCATCCCATTGAAAAGTCAGCTCAGTGCTCTAGAAACCCAAATCCTTCCCTCTTAACCAGGTCTTTAGTCATGAATTTAGTTCTCTAATCTCCCCCTCTCTTTCCTGACTTGCACATGGCACAGGTATTCATTGAATTACTAGGTTAAAATAAAGTGAAAAAGACCACATTGAAGGCCTTGTTAGCTTATGATTAATAATTGTTTGTGTTTTTATAACCATTAAATCTTTGTCTTAGAATGGAGCTCCATAATACCAAGGAAGGTCCATGGCAGTAGGGGCTGCATAACACTGAGAAGACCTGGGTAGGAGGAAGGGAGCTCCATAACACCAAGGAAGGTCCATAGCACTAGGGGCTCCATGACACTGAGGAGACCTGGGTAGGAGGAAGGGAGCTCCATAACACCAAGGAAGGTCCATAGCACTAGGGGCTCCATAACACTGAGAAGACCTGGGTAGGAGGAAGGGAGCTCCATAAGACCAAGGAAGGTCCATAGCACTAGGGGCTTCATAACACTGAGAAGACCTGGGTAGGAGGAAGGGAGCTCCATAACACCAAGGAAGGTCCATAGCACTAGGGGCTCCATAACACTGAGAAGACCTGGGTAGGAGGAAGGGAGCTCCATAAGACCAAGGAAGGTCATAGCACTAGGGGCTCCATAACACTGAGAAGACCTGGGTAAGAGGAAGAGAGCTTCATAACACCAAGGAAGGTCTGTGCCAATAGAGGATTGACCGAGGCTGTGTATGTGTACAAGTAGTTGCAGATAGACTCACAGATCTGAGTAATTTTCTATTATGAACAAACACTCAGCCCTGCCAGGGCAGTATGTACAGGAGAAGGGGATTGCAGAGGAGTGTAGAGGGTATGACAATGGGAAGTCGGTGCGGAGGGCAGAGGGTATGACAGCAAGCAGTATGTGAAGGAGGTTAGTGCATAGGGTAAGAAGATGGCCATAATGTAAAGAATAAGAGTGTGGGGAGGGTATGACAGTGGGCAGCATATGAAGGAAAGGAGTGTGGGGAGGGTATGACAATGTGCAGCATACGAAGTAAAGGAGTGTGGGGAGGGTATGACAGAGTGCAGCATGCGAAGGAAAGGAGTGTGGGGTGGGTATGACAGCGGGCAGTATGCGCAAGAAAAGGAGTGTGGGGAGGGTATGACAGCGGGCAGCATATGCAGGAAAGGAGTGTGGGGAGGGTATGACAATGTGCAGCATACGAAGAAAGGAGTGTGGGGAGGGTATGACAGAGGGCAGTATGCGAAGGAAAGGCGTGTGGGGAGGGTCCATATGACAGCGGGCAGTATGCGCAGGAAAGGAGTGTGGGGAGGTATGACAGCGGGCAGCATGCAAAGGAAAGGAGTGTGGGGAGGGTATGACAGCGGGCAGTATGCGAAGGAAAGGAGTGTGGGGAGGGTATGACAGCGGGCAGTATACGAAGGAAAGGAGTGTGGGGAGGGTATGACAGCGGGCAGTGTGTGAAGGAAAAGAGTGTGGGGAGGGTATGACAGCAGGCACTATGTAAAGAAAAAAGTGTGGGGAGGGTAGGACAGTGGGCAGCATACGAAGGAAAGGAGTGTGGGGAGGGTAGGACAGCGGGCAGTATGTGAAGGAAAGGAGTGTGGGGAGGGTATGACAGCGGGCAGTATGTGAAGGAAAGGAACGTGCGGAGGGTAGGACACAGCGGGCAGTATGTAAAGGAAAGGAGTGTGGAGGGTAGGACAGCGGGCAGTATGTAAAGGAAAGGAGTGTGGAGGGTAGGACAGTGGGCAGTATGTGAAGGAAAGGAGTGTGGGGAGGATATCACTGGGCTCACACTCTCCACACTCACGCCCCACCAGGAAGATTCTCACACTGCCTCATATTCCATGTTTTTGTAACTGGACTACAACAAAATGGCCGCCGACCCTCCTGTACTGAGAACAACTTTAAGATTCCTTTTATATCTTCTTAATTATAACTTTAAATCAATTTGAAATACATGACAGCCGACATCGGTCTCTGGAAACTACAACAACAGCTAACTTGAGGTTATATTCAAGAATTTTCATTGTTGTACTCAATGCAGGACGACCAGCGGCCATCTTGTTGTAGCCCAGAGATGAAGGATAATATGAAGCAGTGTGTGAATCCTCTTGCTGGGAATGTGTGGCTGGAGAGTGTGTGCCCATGTAAGGGGGACTATTGGGACTCTGATATAAAGGGTGACTCTGGACACTGATAAAAGGGTAAGTTTGGGGAATCTGATGTAAAGGAGAAATCTGATATAAGGGTGGACTCTAATATAGAGGGGGGATGCTATTGACACTGATTTAAAGGTAGGCGCTATGAAACTCTAATATAAAACGATGGACTCTACAGACTCTGATATAAAGTAGATGCTATGGACTCTGACATGTGGATGAACTCTGATATAAGGGTGGACTCTGATGTAAGGGAGGGCTTTATTGACTCAGATATAAAGTAGACGCTATGGACTTTAAGGATATACTCTGATATAAAGGAGGACTCTATGGACTCTGATATAAGGGTGGACTCATATAGAGGGGGATGCTGTAGACACTGATATAAAGGTAGATGCTATGAAACTAATATAAGGGTGGACTCTACGGACTCTAATTTAAAGTAGATGCTATGGACTCTGACATATGGATGGACTCTATGAACTCTGATATAAGGGTGGACTCTGATGTAAGGGAACGCTCTATTGATTCTGATATAAAGTAGACGCTATGGACTTTTGATATAAGGATGGACTCTGTTATAAAGGAGGACTCCATCTAAGATGACTCTGATATAAAGGAGGGCTCTGATATAAAACTAAGGATGAACTCTGATATAAGGGTGGACTCTAATATAGTGGGGGATGCTATAGACACTGATATAAAGGTTAGACGCTATGAAACTCTAATATAAGGGTGGACTCTACGGACTCTGATATAAAGTAGATGCTATGGACTCTATGAACTCTTATATAAAGGAGGACACTAAAATTAGAGTGGACTCTGATGTAAGGGAGGGCTCTGTTAACTCTAATATAAAGTAGATGCTATGGACTCTGAGATAAGGCTGGACTCTCTGCTATAAAGAAGGGCTCTGATATAAGGGTGGACTCTGATATATATGGGTAGCCTCTATGGAATCTGATATAAGGATGGACTCTGATATAAGGTTGGACTTTATGGACTCTGGCATAAAGGTAGGTGCTATGAAACTCTGATATAAGGAAGGAATCTGATATAAAAGGTGGACACTGTGGACTCTAAAATAATGGAGGGCTGTGATATAATGGGTGAGCATTATGGACTCTGATATAAGGGAGGACTCTGATAGGGGTGGTAGATACTATGGCCTCTGATATAAGGGTGGGCACTATGGACTCTGATGGAAGGGAAACTGGAGTCTCAGTTGTAAGGGGGAACTCAGATGTAATGGGGATTCTGATGTAAATATGAAACTCGGGGGGGCTCTGATTTTATAGGGGGGGATCTCTGGGTACACTGATGTAAAATAGGGATTCTGGACACTCTAACGTAAGGAGGGACACTTATATCGGGGGGATTCTGATGTAAGGTGAACACTCTGGGGACCCTGATGTAAGGGGTAACATTGAGAAAACTCTGAAAGAGACTCATGATTTAAGGGGGCATTTAATGTAAGGAGGATATCTGGGGACTCAATGTAAGGGGGGGACACTGATGCAAGTAGGGATTCCAGGCACTGGGCGGAAGTGCCAGCCTCTGTGTTGCCCGTTATAATATGTTCTACAAATGTGTTTCTGATTTTATTGAGCAAAGTGAACAGATAACTCTTCATTCCCAGCACAGGAATCAGATATACAAAACGGTGGGAGTCTATAGAAGGAGACAAGGATCTGACATTGGTGTCACTGGCAAGGACGTCATGATGGAGGACCGGCCACCCCTGACGTCATCGGGTAAGAGGAGACTTTCATTTCTTGTATTGAGGATCCACCTAGATACACACATCCTCTGATATAAAGACATAGAAACAATGTATTCAGTCAGTGTGTGTGTTTCCTACAGATGGATCCAGTAATGGGAACCCACCAGAGAGATGTCCCCGTCCTCTGTATTCCCGGGACTCCACACAAGACCATCAGGAGATCCCTCAGGAGGATCAGGAGATTCCTCAGGAACAACCTCAGATCCCTCTGGATGACCAGGTAGGTGGGACTGAGGGTCTTAACTAGAACTGATATTCTCCTTTTAACATAAGTAAAGTTACTAATAAATAAACTGTGTTTTGTCCACACCAGGATGGAGGGGATGATTGTTGTTAAAGTTGAAGATGAAGAAGAGGCGGTGATGGGTTGATCGGTCCATGTATGAAGGGTGATGGTCCATGTATGGAGGGTGATGGTCCATGTATGGAGGGTGATGGTCCATGTATGGAGGTGATGGTCATGTATGGAGGGTGATGGTCCATGTATGGAGGTGATGGTCCATGTATGGAGGGTGATGGTCCATGTATGGAGGGTGATGGTCCATGTATGAAGGGTTGTGACGGTCCATGTATGGAGGGTGACGGTCCATGTATGGAGGGTGACGGTCCATGTATGGAGGGTGACGGTCCATGTATGGAGGGTGACGGTCCATGTATGGAGGGTGACGGTCCATGTATGGAGGGTGACGGCCCATGTCTGGAGGGTGACTGGCCCATGTCTGGAGGGTGACGGCCCATGTCTGGAGGGTGACGGCCCATGTCTGGAGGGTGACGGCCCATGTCTGGAGGGTGACGGCCCATGTCTGGAGGGTGACGGCCCATGTCTGGAGGGTGAGGCCCATGTCTGACGGCCCATGTCTGGAGGGTGCGGTCCCATGTCTGGAGGGTGACGGTCCCTGTCTGGAGGGTGACGGTCCCTGTCTGGAGGGTGACGGTCCCTGTCTGGAGGGTGACGGTCCATGTCTGGAGGGTGGACGGGCCATGTCTGGAGGAGGAAGGTACTTCAGAGATCAGCCCAGGTGAGGAATAAACACTAAATCCAGAGAAGAGTCCCAGATCCTCCTTGTTTAGTCACTACAACAATCTCTTTCCCCCCTCCTCTGTCAGTAGACAGTAATGGGGGGACAGTATGTGCCCAGTGGGGGGTCAGGAGCCATCAGCCTCTATTAGACTCCGCCTCTCCTCCTTACATCATGTCATTGAGACATGACCAGTCTCCCCCCACACACACTCTTGGGGGTCTCTCATACATCTCAGTACAGGGGGCTTCACTCTCATCTTTATTCACAGACCCCGGAGACACCAGAGACACTCAGAGAGACGTCAAAGCTGAGGAGGAGGAAGAAGGACGTGTGAGGATTAAAGAAGAGGAAAACCCCCATAGAGATCAGCACAGGTGGGAAGTAAACATTACTTGCAGAAATGAATGACAAAATCTCTTCTTTTCATTTAAAGCTGAACTCACTGCAGCTCCTCCAGTCTTTTCAAACACACGCAAGAAGCCCTGTGAGTGGAGGAGGGGTGATGAACATAACAAACTCCCTTCTCCAGTCAATGAGTACTCCAACGCTGCAGCTTAGACACATGGGTCAACCTTTTTTTTTTTTTTTAGTGTGGATTTATTATTGCATCTGCACATGTCAAAAAACATATTTTTTTGCTGTAGTTCAGCTTTAAAGTGGTTGTAAACCTCAGACATGAAATATGAACAAAGCACATCCCTCTGTAATGTGTACTTGTCTCAGTCCAGAGCACTGAGTGTCATTTCTGTCCAATTTATTTATTTAATTATTTATTTCAGGTACTTATATAGCACCATCAATTTACACAGTGCTTTACATATATATTGTACATTCACATCCCCGCCCCCGAGGAGCGTACAATCTAAGGTCCCTAACTCACATTCATACTGGGGGGAGATGGCTAGGGGGTCCAGTGGATAGCTGGAAATGCTGGGAGCCGGGGGAGAGAGAGCCACTGGAGGTCCGGGGGGGAGAGAGCCGCTGGAGGTCGGGGGGGGGGGGGGGGGAGAGGCGCTGGAGGTCGGGGGGAGAGAGCCGCTGGAGGTCGGGAGGGGGGGGGGAGAGAACCGCTGGAGGTCGGGGGGAGAGAACCACTGGAGGCTAGCAGGAGAGAGCCACTGGAGGCTGGGATAAGAGAGAGCCACTGGAGGCTGGGATGTGAGAGAGCCGCTGGAGGCCGGGGGGGAGAGAGCCACTGGAGGCCGGGGGGGGGGGGGGGGGGGGGGAGAGAGCCGCTGGAGGCTTGGGGCTGAGAGCAGCTGGGGGCTGGGGGGAGAGAGCAGCTGGAGGCTGGGGGGAGAGAGCAGCTGGAGACTAGTGAGAGAGAGCAGCTGGAGGCTGGGGGGGACAGAGCAGCTGGTGGCCCGGGGGCTGAGAGCAGCTGGGGGGGAGAGAGCAGCTGGAGGCCGGGGGGGAGAGAGCCGCTGGGGGCTGAATGAAAGCATCTGGGGGGAGAGAGCAGCTGGAGGCTGGGTGGAGAGAGCAGCTGGAGGCCGGGGGGGAGAGAGCCACAGGAGGCAGGGGGGAGAGAGCCGCAGGAGGCCGGGGGGGGAGAGAGCCGCTGGGGGCTGAGAGCAGCTGGGGGGAGAGAGCACCTGGAGGCTGGGTGGAGAGATGGCCGCAGGAGGCCGGGGGGGGAGAGTCACAGGAGGCCGGGGGGGGGGAGAGAGCCGCTGGAGGCCGGGGGGGGGGGAGAGAGCCGCTGGAGGCCGGGGGGGGGGGGGAGAGCTACTGGAGGCTGGAGGGAGAGAGCAGCTGGAGGCCGGGGGCTGAGAGCAGCTGGGGGGGAGAGAGCAGCTGGAGGCTGGGGGGGGAGAGAGCCTCTGGAGGCTGGGGGGAGAGAGCAGCTGGAGGCCGGGGGCTGAGAGCAGCTGGGGGGAGAGAGCAGCTGGAGGCTGGGGGGTGAGGGCAGCTGGAGGCTGGGGGGAGAGAGCAGCTGGAGGCTGGGGGGAGAGAGCAGCTGGAGGCTGGGGGGGAGAGAGAGCAGCTAGAGGCTGGGGGAGAGAGAGAGCCATGGGAGAGGCAGGAGGAGCCCAAGCCGCAGCCACTAATGTCCACAGTAGGATCGAGAGCCGTATCTGGTGGAACCCGTCATGCAGGGAAATTTTCCGCACTACTCCTCCTGTGTGATCTCAGGCATTAAGTCACTATAACAAGTCTGGGTTCACACAGGAGCTGTGCGGGAAACCACTTGTGATTCAGACGGGAATCACCACGTTCCTGTTCATATCTCATGCAATTCTTTGTAGTGCGATTTGTGGGCATTCATTTTGTATTTGATCAAATCGCACCACAAAGGTATCAGTACTCCGTATCGGCGAGTACTTGACTGAAAAGTGAAAAAAACAACAATATTGGTGCATCTCTATTTTGAAGTCTAACTGTATTTTTTACTAAAATTTTTTATTCCCTCCAGATGGACACAAGGGAAGGATTGGTGTAGAGAAGCGTCCGAACATTTTGCCCAATGGTAAAACAGAAGGCGATGACATCATGCCCAATTCTTCCGAAGAAAGTCCTGTTATCCCAATTATCCATCCGATACTTCACGGGTCAGACTCGCCTTCATATGGCGGTTGTTCCTCGCGGAAGACGTATTCATGTCCCGAGTGCGGGAAATGTTTTCCCAAGACAGAGAAGCTTATGGCACACCAGAGGACTCACTCCGTGGACAAACCGTATTCATGTTCAGAGTGCGGAAAGTGTTTCCCGTACAGATCGCACCTTGACCGCCATGAAAGGACTCACACGGGCGAGAAGCCGTTTTTCTTGTTCCGAATGCGGAAGATGTTTTACCCAGAAAGGATATGTCCTGTTACACCAGAGGATTCACACGGGGGAGAAACCGTATTCCTGTCCGGACTGCGACAAATGTTTTACCCAAAGATCGAGTCTTTTTAAACACCGGATATGTCACACGGGGATGAAGCCGTATTCGTGTCCCGAATGCAGGAAAAGTTTTAAAAAGAAAGGCAATCTTATTGCGCATCAGAAGACTCACACCGGAGAGAAACCGTTTCCCTGCCTCGAATGCGGCAAGCGTTTTGCGTACAAGTCAAATCTTACCGTACATGAAAAAATTCACACAGGAGAGAGACCTTTTTCGTGTTCGGAGTGCGGGAAATGTTTCACGGACAAGTCAAAGCTGGTTCAGCACCAGAGGATCCACACGGGTGATCTCCCGTATTCCTGTTTGGAATGCGGGAAGTGCTTTACTGACAGGTCGTCTCTCCTCAAACACCAGAGAATCCACACCGGCGACCGTCCCTATTTGTGTTCGGAGTGCGGGAAAGGATTTACAGATATATCCAGCCTATTTCAGCATCAGAGAGTCCACACTGGGGTTCAGCCCTATTCCTGTTCCGAGTGTGGGAAATGTTTTACGCGTAAATCAACTCTGGTTAGGCACGAGAGAGTCCACACCGGGGAGAAGCCATATTCCTGCTCTGAATGCGGGAAGCGGTTTACTCAGAAACCAGCCCTAGTGTCACATCTCGGCTCCCACCAAAAACAAACAAGAGGTTCCTGGTTTGGGATTTGGCAGTTGAGTCCGTTAAGCACAAAGTTACATAGTTAGTCTGGCTGAAAAAGGACAAAAGTCCATCCAGTTCAACCACAGGAAAAAAAAATAATAATAACAATCCTATAACCCCAGTTGATCCAGAGGAAGAAAAGTAATAGGATCGGTTTTGATAGCTCCATCCCTTTCTTCTGCTAATGCCTACGTCCCCCCCATACCCACACTTCACCTGTTGGAGACCCGTATTTACCCCCCCTCATCACAAAACATTCATAGAGGTGTGGGAGGCCCTGGATCCAGGGTTATCTCTAGTTCAAGGAAGCAGAATGCAGTCGTCACATACCTGGTGGGAGCACCTGAAGAAGAAGGCCTCTCCTACAGCTCCAGCTTAGGGCCCCCTGGTAGGATCACAGAAAGCACAAGAGAATGCAGAGGTACGAGGGCCAGGAGCTGGTCCTGCAGTCTATGGGCTGGGAGCCCGTTGGTAGAGACAGTCAGTGTCTGCCAGGGCTGATGGATGGTTGGCACTGACTGTCTGCAGGTAGGTAACCGCAGACTCTGGACTGGAGGGCAGTAGACTGGTAGATGCTTGGCTGGCAGCAGGGTCGGTGCTAGCCTAATTTGTGCCCAAGGCAAGACCAGCTTTGTGCACGAAACCCCCCCCCCCCTGCAAAAAAAAAATTGCACCTGAAGATCTACTTCATCCCACCTAGCACAAACCCTCTCCCCCAAATCCCCCTCCTAGCATAAATCCACCTAAATCCTTCCACAACCCTCTCCAAATTACCCGTCTCCTAGTACAATTTTACCCCCCCCCAACACAAATCCCCCCCCAATCCCCTTTTCCAACACAAATTTGCTCCAATCCCCTCTCCTAGAACAACCTCCCCAATCCCCCCTCCTAGCACAAACCCCCCTAATCCCCTCTCCTAGCACAAATTTCCCCCCCAATCCCCTCTCCTAGCACAAATTTCCCCCCCCAATCCCCTCTCCTAGCACAAATCCCCCCCAATCCCCTCTCCTGGCACAAATCCCCCCAATCCCCTCTCCTGGCACAAATCCCCCCAATCCCCTCTCCTGGCACAAATCCCCCCCCAATCCCCTCTCCAGGCACAAATCCCCGCAATCCCCCCTCCTAGCACAAATCCCTCCAATCCCCCCTCCTAGCATAAATCCCCCCAATCCCCTCTCCTGGCACAAATCCCCCCCAATCCCCTCTCCAGGCACAAATCCCCGCAATCCCCCCTCCTAGCATAAATCCCTCCAATCCCCCCTCCTAGCACATAAATCCCCCCAATCCCCTCTCCTAGCACAAATCCCCCCAATCCCCTCTCCTGGCGCAAATCCCCCCCAATATCCCCTCTCCTGGCACAGATCCCCCCCAATCCCCCCTCCAGGCACAAATCCCCGCAATCCCCCCTCCTAGCACAAATCCCTGCAATCCCCCCCCTCTAGCACAAATCCCTCCAATCTTCTCTCCTGGCACAAATCCCTGCAATCCCCCCTTCTAGCACAAATCCCTCCAATCTTCTCTCCTGGCACAAATCCCTGCAATCCCCCCTTCTAGCACAAATCCCTCAAATCCCCTCTCCTGGCACAAATCCCTGCAATCCCCTATTCTGGCACAAATCCCTTCAGTCCCCTCTCCTAGCACAAATGCACCAGCACCAATCCTCTACCTTCAATCTTCCCACCTAGGACAAATTCCCCCAAACCCCCCCTCTAACTAAGACCCCTCTGGATTACCCTTCCCAGCATAAAATCCTCCCACTTTACCGAGTTTCCCCCCCCCCCTTTTTAGCAAAAATAACCCCCAATCCCCCCCCCCCCCCCCCAAGCCCCTCGATCTGGCTATGGCGGAGAACAGGGAAACCAGCGGCCATGGCTGCACCCTAGGTGGCTGCCTAGTTTGCCTGGTGGTAGCATCGGCCCTGGCTGGCAGATAACAGGGTTGTCAGTACCGGGCAGACTGGTGAGAACCAGGGAAGTGGAGAACCAGTCAGCAGGCACTTGGCTGACCGTAAGGCAGGATGCAGGCAGCACTCCAGGTCAGTAACAAATGGTCAGATCAGGCATAGGCATGAGGCAGAAGAGTAGTCAAGGCACAGGCCAAGGTCAGCAATGGCAGAGACGAGCAGATTAGCAGGCGGATTCCAAAGACAAGTTGGGGTTCAGGTAGGTGGCATTAAAGCATAGTCAGAGACAGCAACAACGGGTCAGGTACAGGAACGCATAAGAGGTTACATGGACATGACAAGGTCATCCAGTGCCAAAGGCGAACATACCAACAACTCCCCCCCTCCCCCTTGCAAATGTTTGAGCATTATCTGTTAGCAAAAATCTCCCTCCCCCCAAAAAAAAATTAGCACTAATCTTCACACTTAAGCAGAAATTCCCTTTGCAAGCCAAAATTCTCCCCAAACAAAAATTCCCCCTTACAGTACAAAATCCCCTCTCCCAGCTCAAATCCTCTCCCACCACAAATCCCCCCAAAATCACCTCTCCCAGCTCAAATACTCTCCCACCACAAAATCCCCCCAAAATCATCTCTTCCAGCTTAAATCCTCTCCCACCACAAATCCCCCCAAAATCACCTCTTCCAGCTCAAATCCTTTCCCACCACAAATCCCCCCAAAATCCCCTCTCCCGGCTCAAATCCTCTGCCACCACAAATCCCCCAAAATCCCCTCTCCCGGCTCAAATCCTCTCCCACCACAAATCCCCAGACAATCCCCTCTCCCGGCTAAAAATCTTCTCCCAACACAAATCCCCCCCCCAAAATCCCCTCTCACGGCTCAAATCCTCTCCCAACACATCCCTCCAAAATCCCCTCTCGCAGCTCAAATCTTCTCCCACTACAAATCCCCCCCAAAATCACCTCCCAGCTCAAATCCTCTTCTACCACAAATCCCCCCAAAATCCCCTCTCTCCCGGCTCAAATCCTCTCCCACCCACAAATCCCCCTAAAATCCCCTCTCCCAGCTCAAATCCTCTTCTACCACAAAACCCCCCAAAATCCCCTCTTCCGGCTCAAATCCTGTCCCACCACAAATCCCCCCAAAATCCCCTCTCACGACTCAAATCCTCTCCCAACACAATCCCTCCAAAATCCCCTCTCCCCAGCTCAAATCTTCTCCCACCACAAATCCCCTCCAAAATCACCTCTCCCGGCTCAAATCCTCTCCCACCACAAATCCCCCCAAAATCCCCTCTCCCGGCTCAAATCCTCTCCACCACAAATCCCCCCAAAATCCCCTCTCCCGGCTCAAATCCTCTCCCACCCACAAATCCCCCAAAAATCCCCTCTCCCAGTTCAAATCCTCTGCCACCACAAATCCCCCCAAAATCCCCTCTCCCAGCTTAAATCCTCTCCTACCACAAATCCCCCCCAAATTCTCCACTCCCACCACAAATCCCCCCAAAATCCCTCTCCCGGCTCAAATCCTCTCCCACCACAAATCCCCACAAATCCCCTCTCCCCGGCTAAAATCTTCTCCCAACACAAATCCCCCCAAAATCCCCTCTCCCGGCTAAAATCTTCTCCCAACACAAATCCCTCCAAAATCCCCCTCTCCCAGCTCAAATCTTCTCCCACCACAAATCCCCCAAAATCCCCCTCTCCCGCCTCAAATCCTCTCCCACCACAAATCCCCCCAAAATCCCCTCTCCCAGCTCAAATCCTCTTCTACCACAAAACCCCCCAAAATCCCCTCTTCCGGCTCAAATCCTGTCCCCACCTCAAATCCCCCCAAAATCCCCTCTCACGGCTCAAATCCTCTCCCAACACAAATCTCTCAAAAATCCCCTCTCCCAGCTCAAATCTTCTCCCACCACACATCCCCTCCAAAATCACCTCCCAGCTCAAATCCTCTTCTACCACAAATCCCCTCAAAATCCCCTCTCCCGGCTCAAATCCTCTCCCACCACAAATCCCCCCAAAATCCCCTCTCCCGGCTCAAATCCTCTCCCACCACAAAATCCCCCCAAAATCCCCTCTCCCGGCTCAAATCCTCTCCAACCACAATTCCCCCAAAAATCCCCTCTCCCAGTTCAAATCCTCTGCCACCACAAATCCCCCCAAAATCCCCTCTCCCAGATCAAATCCTCTCCCACCACAAATCCCCCCAAAATCTCCTCTCCCACCACAAATCCCCCCAAATTCACCTCCTAATAATCCCCCCCCCCCCCTCCAAAATGTACCCTTCTCGCACAAATCCCCCCCAATCATACCTTCTAGTATAAATCTTCTCCCCCAAATCCATTCGCCAAGTACAAATCCCCCCTCCAAATCACGCTTCTGGCACAACCCCTCAAATACCCACAGCACCCAGGGAAACCGCCCCTCCTGCCCACCCCTTGTCCCTGCCCTGGATATGGCGCTCTGATTTATTATTGCTCAGTGTTGTAGGTTGGCCGCTCTGGCGCTAAGCTCTAAATTATAGGAGGTAAGAGAGAAAGTGCCATTCTCCCACATACCTGGAAGTCGGGGTAATTCCTGAGTCTCTGGCAGGGGAGCACAAGGGAGGAGGAGCTTGAAAGCAAATTTGTTACATTGTCTTCAGTGGGCAAAATCCCGATTTTGTTGGATCCACTTCTTACAAGAGAGACTAATGAGCCATTTTTACTAGGTGCAAATATTTCTGTTGTCTGTTTTTCTTTTTCTCAACATGTAGGAATGTGTTTTAAAGTCTTTGACTAATAATGAGAATTCTGTGAAAATATATTACATTTTTAGATCCCTGAAATCAGACTTTTGCTGTTTTTGACTTCCATGCCGTGCTCATATCTTGGACGTCCATCTAGTTTTAAAGCCCAACTTTGCACTCCCTGGCCTCCCTCCCCATCCCCTTTTCCTGATGGTCAGGGGTCTCCAAACTTTTCTACACTAAAGAGCAAGTTAGGGAAACCAACACAAAATGACACAGTGAATAGGGGGAAATAGGAGGAATAGTGCTTTTTGTTGGTGTCACTGG